CGTTTTGAAATTAATATTTAGTTGCATTCTTCAGCTGCAGTTCTTATTAAATTGTGCAGCGAACAGTGAACGAACGAGTGGCAAAAAAAAGCATGAGGAGAAGAGTTCCATGAAATTAACGCACGATCGCAGCCCGTCGTCAATTAATTACCACATCCTCGCTGCATGCTCTCACCTTGACGGCGGCAGCGTTCCTCTTCTCCAGTCGATGTCGGTGCGCCCGGCTATTTCCGGTTCGATGACCTTACCCGCGTCGTCGGCGGTTGGTCCGCGGCGCGGCTCGCAAAGGGGTAGCCGGTTAATTATCCAACGAAAATGGACTAAAGGGTGAGGGACGACGGGATGGGTTGCATTCAGTAGCGATCAGAAGAGCGCAGCGAAAGCGAGAGCAGGGAAAAATGGAGAGGCGAATGGTTAGGGGTGGGTGGGGAAAGAAAGGGGTGGCGAACGCGGGGGAAGAGGGATGGTAGGAGAAAAAGATTCGCCTCATAAACACTTGGAGTGTGACACGATGGTGTCGAGTGCCCACATCAAAGCGCTGGTGCAAGGGGCGCAATCTCACGCCAGCTCATAGGAACTTTGGCTGCTCTCGATGTTAGCAGCCGCGAGAGATAGAAAGAGCGTGCGAAGGACGGACAGAGGAACGGCGGCGAGCGGAACGAAGAGAGTCCGATTGTTTGTCGCTTTGTTTGATTTTGCATTCACGGAGATAGCTTTCACTTACGCACCGCGGAGCAAGATTAAACAGATTCGAAAATGTCCCTGGCACCCTCGCGGCTACCGACCTCTCGTCGCCCGGGTCGCTTCGCGTCCGTGCGACCCTCTGTTGCAACTCGGCGGCCGCCTTCCCGACCCTTCCACGATGTACATGCGTGACTCGCTGCGTGGATCGTAGACCGCGATTATACTTCTTTTTTTCACCCTGACTAACTTGACCTACATTCGTTTAATTAAATCGTAACTGATCACCGTACGCGATACGCGGCGATTATGCCTCACCTAAGGTGTGAAACAGTTTTCCTTCAGCGGTAAATCCTAGGTACGTTTCATACTCACCGCCTTTAAACACCTTGTTTTATTTATTCTTTAGTTGATTTCAAGCATTTTTCACTTTTATTGCTAGTTCCAATGTAATTTACATTTGATTATTAACCGGTAATGAATTGATTGTTTCAATTAATTTGATTTTGATTTTACAATATAAAATATGTAGAAAAATCTGTTTGAAAAGTATAGATGTAAACTATCTACCACAATTCTTAAAACTGATTGATTCTCAAGCCCTTATGCCATTCCTCTTTGATTTCGCGACGAGAGCGGCAAGCCAACGATAGACGTGTAATGAGGAAGATAGCTTGGTTGAGGAGTCAAACAGCAGCGACACAAGATGGAGATGGAGGGTAGAAGTAGCAGCGGCGGTGGTAGAAGGATGGAGGAGGTGGTCGGACGAATCAATGGCATACTTGGCTTGAACAAGTACCGCGAACGAAGGTGTCGTAGTAGCGAGAAATGGAACCCTTCACATTCGCTGCCGCGGCTCTAAGAGGGCCGTCATTATAATACCTACCCGATCGTCATCGGATTCCTCCTTCTCTCTTTCCCTCACGGTTCTTCGCTCGTTAGGTCGGTGCGCACGCAAGAATTCGCACTCGACCACTTTCTTCGCCATTTGCTATCCATACGAGTTCGGATATAGTATATCTTTGAACTTCCTTCGTGTTCGCGATTCTTCTCTCCACCTATCTGTGTGCAGCTTGCAATCCAATTTGCTAACACCAGCCACCGTATCATGACACAATAAAGTTTGATTATCATGATACCCGGCTCGTTTCTGGAAGCTCAAACCCAGCAGCCAGGAGCATGTCATTATAATGTGCTCGGTTGCTCGTTAGCTCGCCAGACGAAACTTTTGCTCGACGACGATCCGCCCGCGATTACTCGGGGATGGAATTTTTCCATTAGTCGGAAATACACGGAAGCCGCGCAGCCTGGAGAACGCAGAGGCAAAACGACAGATTGAAACGAATTTCGTGTCCGCGAATGACGAATGTGTTTTTTGTCTACCTATGCACCTACTACGTGGCCCTCTTGAATGTCGGGATTACAGAGAGGGTAAATTAATTAAAATAACCGACCAAGCTGTTTGACGAAATTTCTTCATCGTCCTCCACCGTTTCTCCCTTCCTTCCCTTTTTTGATTTTCATTAATGGCGTCTATGAAATGGACACGCAACTGTGAGAGCGGGTGCTTTGTTGCCACGTGATAGGGAAGCTCGAAGCTGCGTGTCACGTGATAACAAAAGGAAATGGTGTCGGGCTAAAATAGATATACGCGGCCGGGAACGCGCCGCCGGTCTCATTCGCCTTCTTTTTCCACTTCACCCTCGACCATCCAAAGATCGCTAAGTATTCCGTTTAGTCGACCGGCTCGAGTCGTACGATTCGGGGTGAATCGAGCGACTAGCTGCTCTGTGTACGCGTGTCCCCCTTCGCGTTTTACGTAGGCGTCGAACCGTACGTAACGATCGACCCGAGCACAATGATCAGGCTAAGGGAGGAAGCTCCGATTCTACGTCGGTGACACCTGATACCGCGTAATTAGATGGAACGTGAGGGGTTGCAAAGTTGAACGAATCAAAATGTAACTCGAAAATACCAAGATTCTCCACTCGCTTATTTTCAACTTCTCTATAAAATATATTATTCTCAGAACTGTTATTGTTTAAGTCTGGTGATATTTGATGAAACGTTTCGACAGAGGTTTTTTTCTTCCCCGGGCTCTTACGCAAAGGACGTCGGACGAAACGAAAATTCTGCTGCTCGATACGGTCGCGGTATCTCGAAGCGTGTAAATTCAGTCGACTGAATTCTTTCATGAACCCCGTAACGAGCCAGGCGTGCACCGGCGATCCGTGACACAATGACAATGCCCGGGACGGATGTAATGCTACTGTGCACACCGATACACGGCGATCTATCGAGGGATGAAGAGGGTAATGAAGAGGTGTTGAACCGTATCCCATAAACCCCCATCGTCGCGAGAACCAAGGGTCTCTTTGCATAATAACTTACCGTTCGCTCATCAGTTACGGGTTTTAACCAATTACGAGAATATTAACGGGGGGAAACTTGGGGGCGGAGGTAGTCGGTGTCCCAAAACACAGGATACACGGGGGATGAGTTTCATTTCGCACAGCCGCCTGTTATACACACACGCGTACCGTTCGCCAAGGGATTTTAATTCTTGCTGCGCCGTCCTAGTCGGAAATATTTGTCTGCCTCGGTTAATATTTGTAATAATAACCGCTTCATATATTACACCATAGAGCTATTTAATTATCGTCGCTCTATAAGTTCAATATTCTACAAGTTTTTGAAGAAACTATCTTCCCTGACACTTGCTACTTAATAAATAGATAAACTTGCAAATTAATTCTTTTTTTGTAGAATGTACTTTTATTCAATATATTCCATGGCATATTTTTTATGGGAAATTTACAGATGATGGATGCGTCTATTGACGGAAGCAGGAAACATGAAAACTCTCGTAAGCACCGATTAATCCGAGAGCAGGTAGCAAGTTCTCAAACGATTTCACGGTTCCACAGATTTAACGCGGCGTTTTCTTTTCTGGAAGGGTCCGAGCCCGAGGAGCCGGAATCGCGGTAGAACGAGTCAATCGTAGAAAGGGAACGGGAGTGGCGGTTACTCTGCGGTCCTCGGTCGTTGGGGAAAAAGTTTTCGCGTTACTCCCAGTAGGAAACAGCATGATGCCGACTCCAGGTGTTAATAATCCTTCCCTAATTGTCCCACCGCTGGGACGGATAATTCCCATTAAACATCGCTAAATACTTGTTTGTATACAACCCCCGCTGATCAGCCAGACATCTTTACACCTTTCTTACGCAGGAAGGACTTCCTGCCGCTTTTAAGTAGATCTGTTTCGTTCGCGATCGACGGAACGGGAATTGTGAATTTTCAACAATTTTCCTGCAATTTCCTACCTTCTTACGATTTTAATGTTATTTCTTTACTATAATTTTCTATTCTATACTAATAAGATCATAAATTTTTCATTGATTACGCAACTGTTCTAATCGAGGTGACACCGAGATATTCTATACCTTCGCTTAGCCAATCTATTTTCGTCAGTCCTTTGCACGGGATTTAGCAGTCAACCCGGAAACACGAAATTTCTTGTTGACACGTACGCGTTGAATGAGGCGTGGTACAAGGGTGGCACTGGTGATGTTTGATAAGAGGCTCTGTCGCGATGGTGACCGGATGAGACCTGATTTAATGGATAGAGTACAGATTCTGCAGATACATCAGAAGGACGGCGCCATATCTCGCGCGTAAATCAGAACAGAAGCACGTCATTCCCCTCTCCCTTTCTCCCTCTCTCTCTGTCTCTGTCACTCTATCCCTCCGAAAGAGACACATCCTCCCCCAACTCCTCGGTGTTCGACCACCCTCCGTGCATCGATCAGTCTCGTTTTCTACCTTTAACTAACTTTTTCCCCTGTATACATCGATACTCACTTCCTTAACGAGGAGGCCTCGGTGGTCCCTAAGCGCAGTAAATTGCATCTCGCTTAGCGGCAGATGATGCTACCATATTCGTCTCTCTTTTTTCCGCGACACCTTTTTCTCTCGTCTCTCCTGCCTCTCTTTAACGTATGAGTAACAGAAAGATCGGATCAAGGTAGACGATGTGCTCAAGGGTCGGTTCTTTCCACGGTAGCCAGCAGATTAAGGTTCGTACGAACGATGTGGCTGATTTTTAGAGATTAGTACGCTCCTATCCTCGTAACGTACATTACACCGGGGATTGAGTATCCTTACCTTTTCTTCGAGCCAATCGATGCTCCAGGCTATTGTAGTAGCGTTGCTGATTTCTAAATGTATCTACCAGAAAATATGTATACGTAGGCGTATCGAAAGGTTGAATTTATGGAATTAAAGGTGCAGAAGGTATGAAGTGAAGCAGCATACGATAGTTCATTGGTATCGATGATTTTATTGCATTGGATCGACTCATATGTACAACAAGGGACACATACATATGCATTTTCATCTACTCTACCGATTATCTACATATATAACGATTCTTTATTTTCGCCGTTGATTATGATTAATTAATTCACTTCATCGTCGGTCATGTCTTATCTAAATCGTACGGTAAAAATTTGAAACACGGTTTGAATATTGTAAATTGTATTGACCAGAAGAAACAGGAATACTTTCATTCAAAAAATAATTATATCCTGGAGGGAGAAAATGAGGAAACGGGTATAGTAGGAATGACTTTTGGATGGCGAGACGTAAATAAAAATGCATAATAATTGAATTAATCGTACAAGAACAAGGAACATTGTCGAAGAACTATTCCCTTTTTACAATACGAAACTCGTTTGAAAACAATCGCGCGTACAATAGAGCCATAAACTGGCCGTAATTTCAATAACAAGTATTAATTAATCGCCAACATTCTTCCCTCGCGCATTTGCTACTCGTCGCTTAAGAGCTACTATCACACCGATTTATACATTTCGCCTAAAGATAGATAAAGATAATGCGATCAATGTTTGTCTGCCGTACGTTACGCTACATTGCTCGCTGCGTGAAAGCTCCTAGACGAGCTTTCGCGCGGTCAATGATAAAAGAAGAAATCCACGTCGAGCCGGGCGAAATTTCGAATACGCGTCGTCGAAACGCGGCTCAATTTCTACAGGGTGAACCGTATCTAAACGTTGAATCACTAATTTAAGTGTGCCATTGTTTCGCGTTTAAATTACAGACATATTTTAGAGACATACGAGAAATTCATGGAACTTTGTGAATTTTTATACAATTTATCAAAATGTGTTGGTAACCCGGAAACCGGAAATACGTGATGCTATGGTGTATCGATATATTTGTGTATTTCTTTAATACTGTCCACCCTGTACGCGCCAATCTCGCAGATCTTCTATTTGGTAACGGATGTAACGAAATCTCTATCGCAAGTACAAATATTTACAAATATTTACAGAAATAAGTAATTGTCTCTCGTAGGACACCATCGATTGAGCTTTCATGCGACGATTAATCGGATATCATGGGCGACTCGGTTTCCGATATAACAATCGTGCTAACGCACGCTTATGTCCGTTCCTCTGTCTGTTGATTTACCTGCCAGCGCGGTTTATTTCGACTGATACGACCGATTATTTGCTTACTTCGATATATTCGTGCCCGATGTTTTGCAGTTGGCAACTGCTCGTTCGGTTAAAATATCGTTGTCCCGTCGGGATTGACCGCGACGAGTCGTCTAATTCGATTATTCGTGCTGTTTGCACGCAGTTTTTCCTCTGTTCTCCCTTGCCGCGCTGCACCGTCGCGTTGTCTGGTTCATCCTCGAAATAAAGAGTTACATAATTCCTATTCCCTCCTTCCTAAGAATGCACATTTCCTCGAACGAACTTCAAACACAGCATGCATTTATTGGTAACGTGGATAAAAAAGTTTCGAAAGGAAGGTGTTTGAAAGGAAATTTCATTTCCGCTTACTTGATCTGCTCCTAAGCGTGGAAATTGTTCAGTGACGGAAAATGCCTGAGGCTAATCTTAAGATAAAACAGGAATAATCTCCTATAATTTGGTTGCTGTTAGATGAGGTAGTTGGTTGCCTTAAAACCATGCGATAACACGTACGCATTCCCCATTCCAAGTCTTTTCCCCATATCTTTGGTATCTCTTCTTGGTCTTCGTGTCGAAAGTAATTACTTTCATCTCGTGGAATCGACGGTCCTCAGCGTCGAATCACTCGGTATTCCACTCCACGAATTTTCTCTCGTTAACCATCGATATTAGATCGTGGATCTCCCTCATTTCGAAGGTTGTGTCAACTGGCCGATATCTCCCGTGTAACAGGGTGGTCCAAGGATCAACGGATACTGTGCCTTCCTCGGATAGTGAATCCCATCACCTTGTCACAACATCTTGCTCAGATAACTCGCGGAGCCAGGTGGCGGGAGCAGGAAAGGACTAACGAACGAATGTCCGCCGGGTCCGTGGTGAACGGAAGCGTAGCCGGACTGTTGATTATGGTTCTGCGCCGAAGTACCTAACCCGTTCAACACCGGCGAACCAGTGTCGTGCAATTTCCTCATGTGCTTCTTCAAATCAAAGTTCCTACAGAAACCCTTACCGCATATCTTGCAGGAGAACGGTTTCTTGTCGTTGTGCGTGTGCATGTGGAACGTCAGATTGTAGATCTGATGGAACGCCTTATTGCAGATGTTGCACTTGTACGCCTTTTCGCCGCTGTGGGTCAGCTTGTGATTCTTGTAGTTGCCCTTCTGATGGAAACCCTTGCCGCAGCACTCGCAGACAAACGGCTTATAGTTCGCGTGGATCCGCCTGTGCGTGTTCAGCGTCGAGCTACGGTTGAAAGCCTTGCCGCAGGTCGGGCACTTGTGCGGCTTCTCCGCCGTGTGAATGATCTTGTGCCTGCAAAGGGTGCTCGCCTGGCGAAAACCCTTGCCGCATATCTTACAGACGAACGGCCGCGCGCCGGTGTGGACCGGCATGTGTCTGGTCAAATTGTAATGCGCGTTGAACACCTTTCCGCACTCGGGACAGGTGAACGTTTTCTGCTTGTTCGTCGCGCTCAGCTCGTTGCTACGTGGTCCGGGGCTCTTCTTCTCCCGCTGATTCTCCGGCGACGCCGTTGTCCGGCTCATCTTCGAGAAAGCTTTCTGGATGGTAGTGGGCAACGGTGAATTTTGTGGAACGGTGGGTGTAGCAGACGGCGGCGCTGGAAAGGCACTCAGCAACGAGTTCGGGTAATAAAGAAGGGAATATGGTTGCAGGAGATTCTGATGCCTTAACGTTGGCACGTATTTCTTGAAGGCTGACTCCAAATTAACGGAATAAGTTAACGAGGGGATGCTAGGCGGCGGTGGTTGTAACGGCGTGATCTGTTGATTATTGCTTTGCTCCGTGAGACGTTTATCCGGTTCCATGATTTTCGCTATGGAGAAGGTCAAGTTCTTGCAGGGTGCTGGGGATGTAACCCTTTCTGCGGGGAGGTTCGTCGGTGTTTCTGTCGCCATTGTGCTGCCGAGCGAGAACGGTTGCATGGTAGATATCTGGAACGTAGAAACATCGCCATCAGCATATTTAAAGAATACAAAACGGAATAAGAAGAAAATTATTTTCAGAAGGATTCTATCAGAATTATGTGAATCAGATGGACCAACTGCAAAAGCGACGCGTTCACACGAGACTTTAGCAATCTTGTAATGAGGGAGTAGGTACTGAGTCATGATGATCAATTTGATAGTTTCAAGGACTGCTCTTAGTACCCTCTGTGAGATTCACTTCGCAGAAGTCTGCCTGTGTTTTAGTTTACCTACACGGGGACAGCGAGTAGAATGGTACCCACATGCCGGCGAATCCGAGTGAAACACGTGGGGTACCGACTATTATATCCAGCCAATTGGCTATCGCATTGACATGAAAACGCATGCTCGGCATTGACCGATGAGGGCTGACAAACGATTAAGCAATGCTTTATTCGCAATTCCCGAAGTTAAACCTTGCTCTTAACTCAGCTTGGCACTCAGCACTTAACATGGGTCCCACCGTTCCGCGTTCGTTACACACGCATATTATGTCATGTACAGATTCTATAAGTTTTATACTTCACACTTGAAGAAGAAGTGAGAGAAATGGAAACAGAGATAAATAGTGAGAATGTAACCTAAGGGCAAAATATAAAAGGGGAGAATTGCACTTGAGTGCTGAATGTGAGGAACGACTATAACTTCGAGCCTTATTTCTCAACATAAAACAATTGCAAATCGAACGACGTGTAACGATCACGTTCGATCTGATTCTGTATGCATACGCAATTTGAATGTTGACTCGCGGGTGAAACAGCATGAATATACAGGTAGCCATTAAGCATGTGCAACATGGAAAAGAGGAATGAATGGCGAGGCTGAATGAGTCGCGAAATGGTCAGCACAGTTAAAGAGCAAGCTTCCCCGAGGTATCATGGAAGGTTTGCACGTCGAAAAGTAGAAATGTTTGCTCCGTAGAATGGCGTTATGTTTGGACTTAGAATGACGGTTGGAATTGGATATGATTGCCGGCTGGTCGGTTCGTAAAACGTTCATTTCTATTTCATCAAACGTGCTCATTCCTTTCCGTAGACGCATGAGTTCACACAAAAGTATATAAAAAGATCTAATAATTCTTGTTAGAAGAAACTCATTAAAACTTATTTAAAGCGTAATTCTGCAGGCTTCGAGGTACCTCGTGTTAGAAAGTGAGGAAGAAAGGGCGATATACTATGCGCGGTGTACAACCGCGATGAAAAATGCATGATTCCAGAAACGATGGAAATTCCGAACCCCCTCGACGAGGTGGATAGAATACGTCGCAGTGGTCCTGGCCAAAAGCTCCGCCCATTATCCGGTACCTTTCGATTGCCCTACAGCAAAAGGCAGCCCTAATAACCGAGGAACAAGGAGCGGAAAAGCAAGACCGGTGTGAGAAGCGAGACTCGTGAAGGGAAACGATCTCCTCGCGCACCCCCGAAACGCCCCTGTGACCTATAGAAAACCGTAGACGTCGCGTCAACCTCATCGCCATGGAGCCGCGCAACTGTCGACGAGAGTGACAAAGGACGTGATTATTATGCCATCGAGTGCTGCCAAAAGTAAGCCTCAACTTTGAGTCCCCCTTCTTCCACGTCAATGTCGATTTTCATCCCCCTTTTCTTTTTAAATGCCTTTTCTAGGTTCCTCGGTTTTCACTTTCTTAAGAATCTCAGTGTTTCTCTGTTTCCAGTCCTTTCATTTCATTTTTGCCCTTTTCACTTCTCGCCTTTTGCGTTATCTTCTCTCTTCCGCCGTTCCGTTTCTTTCTCTTCTGCTTCTTCTTCTGTACAATGCGTTTCTCTTTTACGGTTCAAATTCACATTCTGTGTCTATCATTATTATTGTTGTTGTTGTTATTGTTGTTATTATTATTGTTATTATTATTAATATTGTTGTTCTGTATTACTCTGCTTTCTTGTTCCTTCCACGCAACTAAAGTGTATCCTGATATATCCCAGCTTTTCTTCTTCTTTTCTCTCTCTTCCTGCTGCCTATCGTCACTTGCCGTTTTGTAATCCGTCGCAGTTGAACGACGGAGAGAAGAAGACGTAAAAGCCAGGGCGAAACGGTGGGGATCGAGGCGACACGATTGGCCAACCCGTCTATCATCCTCGGAAAAGTGACACAAGGGGGAGAGCCGCAGGGGACGTGGTGGGGGTTAGTATTGTTACAGTACTTAACAAGCAGTCGAGGTAATCAGTATTGCTCCTTGCGGCAGCCGGCAATTCTGCCAATTTGCTCTAATCTGCTTGAAGCATGGCCGACCTGTCCTCTGGGATGATTTTAGTTTCTTCTTGGTGATCTCATATCGATCGGACAAAAATTTGCAATACTTCTAGTCGCTTGTACAATAATTGTATTCTTCATTATTCAATCCTGTTGTCCCTTTATAAAAACTTTATAATTACGTGCGATGAATTTGTTGATGAGTTCTTAGTTTTCGTTTGGTAAGATTTTAAATTCATGGCCGATAGTAAGGTTGAAAAGAAACTCAGGTACCGCGAGGTACTCGACGAACACGGGGCCACCCGAATTGCATTCCTCACTTCCGACGGATGAGATTGACGTGAAATGTACAAAGTTTACCGATGCGGTTACTAAATGGTCCGAAGAATTCAATCACCTCCAGTAAACCATCAGGCGGTAACGAGCGAATCAGTGGATCATGCCGAAGAAAGTTGAAGGAGCTAGAACGAACTTGAAATGGCTTTGCAAATTTACCCGTACCGTTGTCGGCCCATTAATTATCTCCTCTCCTATCCCCTAACGATCACTCTTTCATTTTCTTATTCCACTCGCCTTTACGTTGCCAAGTCGTCGCAGTTTTAATTGAACTTTGATTGAAAATCTCTAGTGGTAATCATCGACAGAGATAGAATTATTATCAACGTGCGAGCAGGTCAACGCGTTCCCTCTTATCAGGATCGAACGGTTAACCCCGAAACGGTAAACGAGGATGATTCGAATCAACGAGGCACACCAATATGAACATTCTGAATCGGTGGTGGAGAAGGGTGCAGGTGGGTGGATAGGAGTTTCGCGTGTACAGAGCGCATCAATCAGCAGCTCCTTCTGCGAATAATACCTACTCATGAGGTCACACGCCTATCGCTCTTTTCCTTTAAGTGGCGATAAGGAAATAAGCTGGCCCGGACGAATTCTGTTGCTTAACTTTATTACGATCACTGCTTAACTAGTGGAAGATAGCGCGAAAACGTGTCACACAATGTGTTTGTCATTCAGACAAAAAATAGATGGGTAATTATTCTTCGGTCAACCGGAGACGGACAGTGAAGATGAACATGATTTTGTTGGAAGTCAAAGCTCAGATTGTCTGTGCTATAATTTCCTCCGGGTTATAACTCGAAGAGAACTACGTAGCACTTTTGTGCGAAAAGCTGCGAGATGATGTGTAATTTTTATTAGAACGTCTCAAAGTCCGGGCAGCGGCGTCTTTGGAAGAGGCCCATTAGTCGGAGTAACCCTCATTGTTCCACCTCCGACACTGGGGTATTCCGTGATATGGCGCGTGAACGGTTGACATATAATTAGCATTTGGGGTAACGAAAGCTCGGCTGAAGATGACAGGAGGCACAATACGTGCCCACTTGGTTATCCTCTGTCCCATAACTCGGCCACAAACCCGCCCTTTCTGTTCGCGCTCGCTCGACGTCGTGCGTCGCGTAAGCCGATTCGAAAATTAACTGGCTCGTAATCCTTCTAAGGGGTTCGTCGTCTATCTCAGCGAAAAATTTTCTCGCCGCAGGATCCCCCGTCGGTGAAGATTCGGTTAACATTTACTAAATTTCGGATTAACGGCACGCGACTAAGAGAGAGAGGGTTATCAAATTCTTTCTGCACAGCCGCGAGGGTGGTAAATCGGCTGTAACTCGAATCGTAATTACCAGGTGGAAACGGGGTGAAATGAAAACGATCTCGTGCCGCTTTTTTCTTCCCCGAGAAATTTAAACGCGCGCACCCGTGACTCGTGATTTCGAAGTTTCACGTTATGCGAAGGACTTCGCGGAGAGAGTGATTTAAAGTTAATTGGAGAGTGCCGGTGGTGGCGGAGGCGAAGAGGAATAAATTGCGAGTCGCCTCGCACGAATCAGAGAGGGGCCCCGCGGTGCCTATACTCTACCGCGGGTGTATTCTGAATTAAGTCGCTCAGTTGTACACCGTTTACTTAGCTCCCCGACTGCTCTCGAATCGTGCACCGGAGAATGGCTTAATTTTAAGGAACTTTGCGGTCGTTTCCACAAACTTTAATTTTATCCGTCGAATGTCGTTACACCGCGAGCTTCACAACGACGTGTCCTGATAATACTTGAAACCTGCCTTTCGTGCATCGTGTCTATCTAACCCATCTTTAAATTTGCTTCCCACAATTTCCGAGCGAACTTAAAATACGACTTGACACGCGTTGAAACAATTTAAATATCACCGGGCTCGTATAATGTTTGTATTTTTATACCCAATTACATTTTTTAGGCAAAATTGAACATTATTTTAAGGATGTATAGGCTAAACACTTAAACAATGCTAGCATGTTGAATTTGTTATTATAGATTCCCATTACTATCAAAAAGCTACCTGCAAAATTTTAAATCAATTCACGGGTTTTTTGAAAAATTATAGTGACTTAAACTTTGTATGTACTCTTATGGCAATCAGCAGTAACCCAAAGAAAACTTTCTGCTATTTGGTGTGCGAAATTGGAAGAAACAACTGACTTGAGGAAATACAAGCCTAAAAATTCTGAAATTTTTGACGCCTTTTNTTCTTGTAGAGGACGACGAGATCTATAATTTCTGTATAAAAACTTTTCGCTAGCGTCAATAATTAATTGAATATTTCCCTCTATCCTTTTGAGCACGTAGCTATTTATTATTAGCATTGTTCTTCCGACGTCTGATTTCTTTTTAATTATAGGAAATGCGTTTTTCTGAAGTACATAAACTTTTGGGATTGATTGTATAGCT